TTGTAAAAGAGTTTGACCGTTATTGGAATCGAATTTGTAAAGAAATTTTTGGCGCTGTTCGGGTTGCTGTGGGCATTTTTCCATCGATCACTGCCGATTCATGCTAAGGAGATCTGTAAACTCTTGTAAGGGGATGCAACAGCACGAGCTGACAAGAAACTACAGGTCTTACCAATGTGAGATGACAGGGATTGGCAAGAGAAACCTGCGACGAAAGTGCAAAATTGCCCTCCCCCCCTCCAGCCGAACAGCGCTAATTTTCCGATGAAAACTGTACGTCTAGTACTTGTTTAGGTGGAGAATTCTATTGTGCATATGACTCCTGACGGAAGTGCTCGTGTTACGTTAGCAAGACGAGTTGCTGGAAGTGGTGATACTCCGCCAGGGATGAGCAAGTACTCATCGACTGACTCTGTACCTCAAGGAGCCGCTAAAAGAATTACTTCCGATAGAAAAGGCGACGAAAAAGAAAGCGTAGAAGAAGAGGAACAGTATGAAGATATAAAAGACGTTGGCCTATGGGTGCGTATAGACGATCCGGAGCAGGTACGTACAGTAATATTGTTTGGAGTTGTGTCGTAATTTAATTTGTTTCGATGAAGAGATGGCGCTAGTAACCTTGGAGGGGATATTTAGAAGACTTTTGTGCAAAATTGAGCTTTATCGTGATGCGAATGCGATTACCTTATTTGAAATTGGCTCATTCACCTCCAAGGTCTTTCCTACCTTCAGGCATAGGCGAGATTTCTTGTCTCCACTGCGGTACTTGTAGTTTTGCACGAGGGGTCCCTTAAATGCCCCTCCAAGGTTTTTAAAACATACTTTTCTGCTTTTCAGGTGTTCCGTTATCTGAACGAGCCTCTGAAGTCTACCGGTGAGCCGTTGGTTGTATGGCCAAGTGAGGAAATCCGACAGGTACTGTAACTTGAGTCAGCTGATAGAAATGTCACTGGGCGATAGAAATTCTGAGATAATAACCCCGAAATAGGAACGAAGGAGTCGTGGTAGGTGGCGCGACTTGCCCTGCGCCATTATCAATGGGTTCATACTTTGCAATTCTTA